CATGGCAAGTTGTCATGGATTCAGTAGATGATTTTAAAATCATGGTCAGGGTTGGCAGAGTGACAGGAGTCGATCAGGTGTTCTAAATAGAGCTTCGCACACACTTCCTTTCTCCCTCGTAAAACCATGCTGGAATATGTTCTCGTATCCGTATGGAAAGCGTCCTCTCGCTAAAGCCAATGTAGCTTGCTCCACAAAAGCAGGTGAACTGATAGATGCACATGGAGGCGGCCGGACGGGGCTTGGTGGTCAGAACGTGCGGGTGAGATTGAGTCAGCTGCTGCATCTGGCAACAGTCGGAAGCTGTTCCAACTCATCCGAGCCACTGGCAGCAAGAAATAAGGTGTCAGCGAGACGGTCTGTGAGGCAGATGGCACGCCAATTACCAGTTTGAAAAGACGCCTGGAACGCTGGGCAGAGCACTTCGGGAAACAGTTTAGCTGGCCACCAGCTTCAATGTCTGCTGTCATTAGCCCCAGTGCTCCTTGGTCGGTTAATACCGACCCACCCACCGAAGCGGAGGTCCGTAAGGAACTCCAAGTGTTAAAACGCCATAAGGCGCCCGGCCCAGACAATTTACCCCCGGCTCTTTTTAAAGATGGTGGCGAGACTCTCACAATGGCTCTAACTGGGTTGTTCAGGAAGGTATGGGAAACTGAGAGTGTACCATCAATGTGGGACGAAGCCATTATCGTCCCCATCTTTAAAAAGGGTCGACGTAATTCGTGTGACAATCATAGGGGTATCAGTCTGCTACCAGTCGCGTCTAAATTATTGGCTGCTGTCTTGCTTCACAGGCTGTGCAAAATACGTGAAGGATTGATTCGCGAAGAGCAGGCTGCGTTGCGTTCAGGTCGTGGATGCATTGATCATGTGTTCACCCTTCGTCGAGCGTGTCGAGCACGAATTACTTTCGGATTGTAACCATTCTTCCGGAGCCAGGCTAGACGTCTTCGTCTCCACCGATTACATGCTTCACGTTGAACATCTATAGGAATTCTGTGCACAGATTCTGCATAAATAGTTGATAAATCTAAACTCTGGGGAAATTCAATATGCTCGACGTCGGAAAATTCTTCCATCAATTGGCACCGGCATCGGCATGCACATCCTTCGGCATTCCCACCATCCAAGGATAGCAACAATCCAGTGAACTTTCTCATTAATTGGAATGATGATAAAATCTTTACTGAAAATGTCATCTCGACGTGTCCAGCGAGCGACACCAGCGTGTTGTCAGTTGTTGGAACACCGCCACACGTATTGCAGGCCAACGATCGTTGTGTTTCTTGATATTAGGGCTGCCTTCGATTCGTTGGACAGAACTGTGCTCTGGAACTGTCTGTTAGAGAGAGGTGTACCTGAGAAATTTGTTAACATCTTGAAAGCCCTATAGAGAAACACCTCATGTAGAGTGAGGGCATACAACCAACTATCATCACTGTTCCTAACCAACAGTGGGGTTAGACAGGGTTGCCCAATCTCTCCATTTCTCTTTAACTTTGCCATCGATGACATTCTGGAGTCAGCTCTGAAGGATGTGCGTGAAGGTGGTGTAGATCTGCTACCTGGAGATAGACTTTTCGACCTCGAGTATGCAGACGATATCGTCTTACTGTGCGATAGCATGCATGCTGCCCAAATCGCACTTAATCAGTTGGCGATCAGTGTCTGTAAGTATGGTATGTGCTTTGCACCGACCGTCTAACTGCAAAGTACTGTTACAAGATTGGCAGGAGCCTGACCTGCACCCACTCTTGCGGGTGAACCGCTTGAAGTTGTTGACAAGTTTAAGTACCCCTCCGCCAGCACTCACACAACTACCCAGGTACACAAACTTATCAACAACTTCAAGCGGTTCACCCGCAAGAGTGGGTGCAGGTCAGGCTCCTGCCAATCTTGTAACAGTACTTTGCACTTAGACGGTCGGTGCAAAGCACATACCATACTTACAGACACTGATCGCCAACTGATTAAGTGCAAGCATGCTATCGCACAGTAAGACGATATCGTCTGCATACTCGAGGTCGAAAAGTCTATCTCCAGGTAGCAGATCTACACCACCTTCACGCACATCCTTCAGAGCTGACTCCAGAATGTCATCGATGGCAAAGTTAAAGAGAAATGGAGAGATTGGGCAACCCTGTCTAACCCCACTGTTGGTTAGGAACAGTGATGATAGTTGGTTGTATGCCCTCACTCTACATGAGGTGTTTCTCTATAGGGCTTTCAAGATGTTAACAAATTTCTCAGGTACACCTCTCTCTAACAGACAGTTCCAGAGCACAGTTCTGTCCAACGAATCGAAGGCAGCCCTAATATCAAGAAACACAACGATCGTTGGCCTGCAATACGTGTGGCGGTGTTCCAACAACTGACAACACGCTGGTGTCGCTCGCTGGACACGTCGAGATGACATTTTCAGTAAAGATTTCATCATCATTCCAATTAATGAGAAAGTTCACTGGATTGTTGCTATCCTTGGATGGTGGGAATGCCGAAGGATGTGCATGCCGATGCCGGTGCCAATTGATGGAAGAATTTTCCGACGTCGAGCATATTGAATTTCCCCAGAGTTTAGATTTATCAACTATTTATGCAGAATCTGTGCACAGAATTCCTATAGATGTTCAACGTGAAGCATGTAATCGGTGGAGACGAAGACGTCTAGCCCGGCTCCGGAAGAATGGTTACAATCCGAAAGTAATTCGTGCTCGACACGCTCGACGAAGGGTGAACACATGATCAATGCATCCACGACCTGAACGCAACGCAGCCTGCTCTTCGCGAATCAATCCTTCACGTATTTTGCACAGCCTGTGAAGCAAGACAGCAGCCAATAATTTAGACGCGACTGGTAGCAGACTGATACCCCTATGATTGTCACACGAATTACGTCGACCCTTTTTAAAGATGGGGACGATGATGGCTTCGTTCCACATTGATGGTACACTCTCAGTTTCCCATACCTTCCTGAACAACCCAGTTAGAGCCATTGTGAGAGTCTCGCCACCATCTTTAAAAAGAGCCGGGGGTAAATTGTCTGGGCCGGGCGCCTTATGGCGTTTTAACACTTGGAGTTCCTTACGGCCCTCCGCTTCGGTGGGTGGGTCGGTATTAACCGACCAAGGAGCACTGGGGCTAATGACAGCAGACATTGAAGCTGGTGGCCAGCTAAACTGTTTCCCGAAGTGCTCTGCCCAGCGTTCCAGGCGTCTTTTCAAACTGGTAATTGGCGTGCCATCTGCCTCACAGACCGTCTCGCTGACACCTTATTTCTTGCTGCCAGTGGCTCGGATGAGTTGGAACAGCTTCCGACTGTTGCCAGATGCAGCAGCTGACTCAATCTCACCCGCACGTTCTGACCACCAAGCCCCGTCCGGCCGCCTCCATGTGCATCTATCAGTTCACCTGCTTTTGTGGAGCAAGCTACATTGGCTTTAGCGAGAGGACGCTTTCCATACGGATACGAGAACATATTCCAGCATGGTTTTACGAGGGAGAAAGGAAGTGTGTGCGAAGCTCTATTTAGAACACCTGATCGACTCCTGTCACTCTGCCAACCCTGACCATGATTTTAAAATCATCTACTGAATCCATGACAACTTGCCATGTTTTCTTCGTCATAGACTTCTATAGACAGTGGAGGCCTTGGCAATTCATGACTTTAAACCAGACCTTTGTGTACAAAAGAAGTATGTACAATCCCTACTTCTGCCTTAAGAATTTTATTTTGTTTATTTAGTTATTCTATGTACCTTTCCCTTATTACTACGATTATTATTATCATTCTCACTATTCTCACTCTGAATTGTTTCCGCTTGTCCCATTTGTCATTTTAAATCCAAAATTATTATTATTTATCTTTTTGTTTTTACAATATTGAATTCTATCGTATGAAATTTCACACCACATTATGTAACATTTTATATTCGCCTACTAATCCTATAATTATGCACTCCTTTCCAACATCTATACACCTTATATATATATAATATATATATATATACCATATATGACATTAATTGTTTTGCTACTTGACATTTAACTATGATGATAATCACAAACATTTTAATCGCATTTCATACTTATTATTATTATTTCATGTGTTCACACTTTTAATCTAATTCCCTCATCGGATATAATTTCCTAGAACTATATGTATGTATAGGATTGTGCAGTCTGTAAATAAATTTGTTGAAAAGTCTCTTCGCTACATATTGTGTTCTGAATGGTAGAAGTTGTGTTATTAAATTATGGAAAATAAGGGGTTTGTTTTTCAAGCAAACTGACTCATGTTAAAATGAGTTGTACATATTCACCTTCTCCTCAGTTCTGGCATTATAACATAATACATATGGCAACTACTTGATGTTCATTCACTAGGGTTTACTTATCATAAATTCTATAAACACGTCTGAGTTACTTTGATTGATAGGGTGTCATGCGTCAGAGTTTTTTTATTGTTGATACTTTACATCTCGAGGATACGAATCAGAAATCGAGCAGTTTTCTCAGGCTTCAAACCGAAAGTGGAACTTTGGGAAATCCAGTCACATAAAGGTCTAAAAATCTTTAACTCCCAGTGACCTAATTCTAGTACAGACAAAAGGAAGGTAGTCAACGGATGCACCGCACATAGTAGTTGTCGCAGCAGACCAAGATTAACAACTTTACCAACCAGCCTAACTTTCTTAATTTATTCCTGAGGCAATTTACTCAGCATAAGCAACATCACAGAGAAACCAGCCGGAAAATGTCATATTGAAATATACTAAATTGAAAAATGACGTACAATGTTGGCAATCTGAGCAAAGTGAATGCAGATTCTTAAGAATTCTATTTAGGAGAACCTCAAAGACACGATTCCGAATCAATATACGCTTACATATACACCTAAATTAAGCATAATAAACACTACAATAACTGCTGATTATCCACAAACATAATTATCAAAATAAGAACAAATAGGATAACAATAAATGAGTTTCACAGCTAACCTGATGTGATTTTAGGTCGCGACAAAAAAGGAGTGACGCGTGAATTAAGTTTTTGAATTGTATGGATAGTAGCCATCACTGCTTGGCTATCACTGCAGCTGGATTGGGTATTTAGTCCTGGTAAAATATCATGATTGATAAGTGTAACCAAAGGATGAGCCAGAAACTTTTTCTTGACTGTCTCTACATCCCACTTATTATTGTGCAGCAATAAACGAGCTATTGCTGGGGGCACCTGAAATTGTTTAAGATAACGCTCAATATTAGGCAATAATACGGTTGAAAATTAGTTGACATATAAAGAATTATCAAGTAGAAACCTAGATAAACTGTCTCAATATCCCATTCAACAATGTAGTCACCCTTTGCGCTTAACGCGTTTTAAACATCACTTTTCAAGATATCGCTAGTAGGTAGAAGATGCGCTGACAGAATATCCTGTAACGTTGTACGCTGTCAATAAGTGATACATAAGGTTGCCTATACTGGTCCATAAAAACGCTGAGCGTGTTCACCAACGACTGGGAAAATTAACTGCGAGAAATCTGTTCCAATTTGATAAATCAGTTTGCCATGTAATAAACTTATGGTATTACTGACACAGACTCCATCAGTTTCGAAAACATGTGACTTATCAATTAATGAACGTCAGACGTTTAATGAGTATGCCAACGCAGTCACCAACAAACAAACACTGTATATTAATTCTAAACTATCTAATAGCATAAAATCTATCGGTGGTTTCCGAGGCTGGCCTACCACTCCGCCCTATCTTAGATATGTCCGGACCCCCTCTCCATTCAATAGCTAGGTGGTTAGCTGAAGTCTTCGAACCCGTCAGGAAACAACTATCTATTCATTCCCTTTGTGACACGTAATTTGTCGAACGTATACAGGATACAAATGCTTCGAATAAACATATGTTGCTTTCGGATGTAGAATCCCTATTTACGAGCGGTCCACTGACAGAAACCATATGTTTTATATGCAAATATGTTGAAGTCAGAAGTTGAATACAGGACTATCCACTACAGATTTGAAAGAACTACTTTTGAGATGTACAGTTTACTTTCAATGAAACAATCTATAGACAGAAGAGCGGTATTGCAATAGGCTCTCCCTTGGGTCCTCTCACTGCAGACTGTTTTATGGCCAGTTGAAGTCAAAAATTCAAAGTTTTCAAATGTATAAAAGCTATATAGATGACACCTTTATTATTTTGTAAGTGATTTTCATTTGAATAATATATATATATATATTAAATGCACTTAATGGTTGCCATCCAGCGACAAAATTTACACTCAAAATGGAGAACGAGTCTGGTGTTCATTTCCTCGATGTAAACTTATCAAGAAGGACTGATGTAACCCTGAGGAGATCGGTTTATAAGAAGCTGTCACGGAATGGTCAACTGACAAATTTCTACAGCTGAGTACCCATTGGTCTAAAGCGAAACCTGATCTGGTCGCTTGCCACTCGTATTCGGCGTATATGTAGCCCTGATACTGTGGAGGAAGAGTTAAATCTTTTAAGAAAAATCCTGATAGAAAATGGATTTCCGCCACGTTTTATAGACAAGAATATACAATCAAAACCTATGAAATGTGACTTAGCATCCGTAACCAAGAACATACTGTACATGAGCTTGGAATTCGAAGGTGACTTAGCTTCCGATATCACTAAAAGAAGGATCTCACAGTCCCTGAAAAGGACATTGCCTGCTGCATAGTTGAGAATAGCGTTTTCCAGTGGACCATTACTGTTCAACAACCGGAAGGACAAGATCCCACAGTTGACCAACTCTATGTGCGTTTATCATTTCACCTGCTCGTGTGGAGTTGGGTATATCAGTTGCCCGAGTCGAGTTTTGTCCAAGAACACTTTCCTGCATAGTTACGAAGAGGTGGAAGTGGAGCAATAAGAAGCTCGATCATTGAACACCTGGTCGATAATGACCACCCTATCTCTGCAGTCTCCGCCTTTAAAGTCATCTAAAAGGCGAACAGTAATTAGCCAAAATTACTACGTATCCGACTCATCTGTATTGCTGAAGCTTCGGCCATCAAAACAGAAAAGCCAGATCTCTGCATGTAGAAAAAGCTCGTTCAACCCGTCCGACTTTCATGATCTTAATCACTCTATGCTAAAGTGTAGTAATCCATAATCATATTCTGGCTCTACCTACTTTTTGTTTTGTTTATTCAATTTGGTATAATAAGGTAAGTAATGTTGACGTTAGGCGTAGAGTGTTGGGCAGAGAGGGAAAATCACTCGAAGAGGCTATAAAGTTACATAGATTGAGATGGTTAGGTCACGTGCTGCGTATGCCTAACCATCGTCTCCCCCGACGGGCATTACTAGCTGATATAGGTGCAGGTTGGAAAAGAGTAAGTGGTGGCCAAACAAAAACATGGCCTCATCAATCCATGAAATCCCTGACAGTTAAACTGAGTCAGGTAGGGAGATGCAGACTTCCGGGTTGGGGCCCTAGAGACTCTAAGAATCAATGGCTGGAGACAATAGGTGACATGGCTCAAAATCGTTGTCAATGGCGCAGATGTATTCAGTCTCTTTAACCTTCATATTCCTTTCTACCATTACTCATTCTCTTTCACTCTTATACTTATCTAAATTCGATTGATTCTCTTCACTCATTTTCCTGTCTACCTTTGTGTGCTCTTTGGAACGTGGCAACTCGAACTGCTGCACTTCGGTGCCAAGTTCTATATTGAATCCAGCAGCAGCAGCAGCTAAGAAACGCTAAAATACGAGGATAACTGTTGAACTTAAAGAAGCCATAGCTCCGCAACCGTAAGTCCTACAGGGACGAGACAGGTACCAATCGATTCGTTTCGTCGAGAGGAATCCAATGGTATATAAGTCAGAGGGTTAAAGCTATTCCTAAGAAAAATACGAGGATTTTCCTGCCTAGCAGTCTCTGCCTCCCTGCTGCCCTATGGTTGGTAATGCCCCCTAGCTACATACACAACGGCATACAACCTGAGGTCGCGGAGCTAAAAATGTCAAGAGAACAGCCAGCGGCATGAACTCTAGGCCTAGAAACAGGTTTCCCCTGTAGCCTTTGAAAACAATTCCCCATTCGGCTGAGGAGAAGCTGTAAGGTGCGATACCGGTACCAATGGGTAGATCTCGTCGAGAGCTATCCATTGATATACAGCTTTCCTAAGTCCTAGCCTCCCTAAGAAAATTTAGGCAGCATAGTCCCTAAGGGCACTAGCCCACCCCATTCGGCTGAGGAGAAGTTATAAAGTTCGAAACCAATGACAAAGGATAGGTCGCTGTGAGAGCCATCGATTGATATATAACTTCACCTAAGTCCTAGCCTCCCTGGAAAAATTTTGGCAGCATAACCCCAGAGGGCGCAAGCCCAGATATCAAAGAGCCTGAGGAAGGCTGAGGAGAGGCTACAAGGGTCGAAACCAATGTCAAAGGATAGATCTCGTCGAGAGCTATCGATTGATATATAGCTTTCCTATGCCAGAGCATCCCTAAACGAACTATGACCGTAAGGTCCCCAAATGCCCCAGCATAGTAAACATGAAGCTAAAACCTAGCCTAAACATGAAAACTACTAATAAAACTAATATAAAAATAAAATAAACTTACCAAATAATTCCATTGATGAGGATTGGAAGCCATCATAGGCCTCCAAGTGACAGGGGCTGCCCGTAGAAAACCAGCCATCCGTCCCACGCCATGCCACAATTTCAGCTGCGCCTTCGCGCGCATCGTCAATTAAAACAAAATGCCTATCTACGCCTAATAAACAAAAGCTTAATTCTCATTGGCTAAAAATACCCTGTATATTGCTATACAAAGGCAAAATGGGGAAAACCTGCAAAACTTTAAAAGTCCATATCCCGCAACCGTAAGTCCTACAGGGACGAGACAGGTACCAATCGATTCCTATTCCTAAGAAAAATACGAGGATTTTCCTGCCTAGCAGTCTCTGCCTCCCTGCTGCCCTATGGTTGGTAATGCCCCCTAGCTACATACACAACGGCATACAACCTGAGGTCGCGGAGCTAAAAATGTCAAGAGAACAGCCAGCGGCATGAACTCTAGGCCTAGAAACAGGTTTCCCCTGTAGCCTTTGAAAACAATTCCCCATTCGGCTGAGGAGAAGCTGTAAGGTGCGATACCGGTACCAATGGGTAGATCTCGTCGAGAGCTATCCATTGATATACAGCTTTCCTAAGTCCTAGCCTCCCTAAGAAAATTTAGGCAGCATAGTCCCTAAGGGCACTAGCCCACCCCATTCGGCTGAGGAGAAGTTATAAAGTTCGAAACCAATGACAAAGGATAGGTCGCTGTGAGAGCCATCGATTGATATATAACTTCACCTAAGTCCTAGCCTCCCTGGAAAAAGTTTGGCAGCATAACCCCAGAGGGCGCAAGCCCACATATCAAAGAGCCTGAGGAAGGCTGAGGAGAGGCTACAAGGGTCGAAACCAATGTCAAAGGATAGATCTCGTCGAGAGCTATCGATTGATATATAGCTTTCCTATGCCAGAGCATCCCTAAACGAACTATGACCGTATGGTCCCCAAATGCCCCAGCATAGTAAACATGAAGCTAAAACCTAGCCTAAACATGAAAACTACTAATAAAACTAATATAAAAATAAAATAAACTTACCAAATAATTCCATTGATGAGGATTGGAAGCCATCATAGGCCTCCAAGTGACAGGGGCTGGCCGTAGAAAACCAGCCATCCGTCCCACGCCATGCCACAATTTCAGCTGCGCCTTCGCGCGCATCGTCAATTAAAACAAAATGCCTATCTACGCCTAATAAACAAAAGCTTAATTCTCATTGGCTAAAAATACCCTGTATATTGCTATACAAAGGCAAAATGGGGAAAACCTGCAAAACTTTAAAAGTCCATATCCCGCAACCGTAAGTCCTACAGGGACGAGACAGGTACCAATCGATTCCTATTCCTAAGAAAAATACGAGGATTTTCCTGCCTAGCAGTCTCTGCCTCCCTGCTGCCCTATGGTTGGTAATGCCCCCTAGCTACATACACAACGGCATACAACCTGAGGTCGCGGAGCTAAAAATGTCAAGAGAACAGCCAGCGGCATGAACTCTAGGCCTAGAAACAGGTTTCCCCTGTAGCCTTTGAAAACAATTCCCCATTCGGCTGAGGAGAAGCTGTAAGGTGCGATACCGGTACCAATGGGTAGATCTCGTCGAGAGCTATCCATTGA